ATGAGTTGAGTCGTTAATGTGTTGATCGTTGATAAGTTAGGTAGTTGATGATTTGACTCGTTGATGAGATGGATTGTTAGATAGGTGGGTGGTTAATGTGTTGATCGTTAATATGAGTTGGGTCGTTGATGAATCGGATCGTTGATGAGATGGGCCGTTGATTAGTTTGGTCCTCAACGATTCGACTCGTTGATAAGTTGTGTCGTTGATGAGTTGTGTCGTGTATTGTTGATGAGGCGAGTATTGTTGATGAGTTGAGTCGTTGAAGATTTGACTCTTTGATTGGTATTTCGTTGATGAATCTGGCCGTTTACGACTTGGGTCATTAATCAGTAGTATTAATAATGAGTTGACCGTTGATTATTTGGGTTGTTGATGAGTTTGTTTTTTGAGGAGTTAGGTTGGTTGAAAAGTTAGGTCGCTGATGAGGTGAATCGTTGATTAGTTGACCGTTGATGAGTCGAGTCGTTGATAGTTGATGAGCTTGGTCGTTGATAAATCGGATCGTTGATGAGTTGGAGAGTGCGCAAAAATCTTTGCCAGAAAACATGGAGTTGACATGTTCGGAAACATGGTAGCGAAATCACTGATTTTTATTTTGCATTCAGAGAGTTGCACAATCCATCTTCATCCATGGTCAAAATAGGAGAGCCACAGCTTTGGCTACAGATCCAATTATTATCATATTTAGATCTACAACCTTTTTTCTCCCGAGATCAAATTAATGATCTATGCATACTCATAATCTTATTCCGGAACGTTACTCAATATTTATTGAAACGATTTGCAAGTGAAAAAAAAGAAGATGAATTGAACTACTCACATTCGAAGGTACACTTCAATCATTCTAGGACTAGATTTGTCCCTTTTTAGCTATACCAACAGACAATGCTCTGCTATTCATGCACTGATAATCAAGCCAAGAATGAATCTGACTCTTTGTAGCATGAGGCATCGAATATTTGCCTGAAGCATCAAACTACCTGTATCATGATCTGATATGTATTCAATTCGCAGTGCTTAGTGCTTATTGTAGGGAATGAGCTTATTGGAGAAAACTCCGATATAAATTGAAAAAAAAACACAGAAACTCAAGTAATTCAACCCTGTCGAGTGTTTTAACAACTCAGGTATTACCTGATATGGAACTCGTCAACAAATAGAATTTTCTCCCTGCAATCATGAAACAGATTGATTATCCGCTCGAGATTTTTCATCGTTTTGTCAAATATCAAAACGAAATAGAGTTGTACAGGGTGAACAACTAAGAACGGCTGTCGGCCATATCTAAGCAATGAATAATGATACAAGTTTGCTTACACGATGTAATAGAGAAACTGAATCTCAACAGACCAACGGAAACCGCAACATGATAGCTTTTCGTCAACGGAAGATATTAATTATCGAAATTGGAAGAATGATAGAAATGACAGCCGTTCTTAGTTGTTTATCGAGTACATAATGAACAGGACACTTTTCTTAAGACTCTCACGTGCTAGTATCACATTCTTATTTCACATCATCATCATGATGCAGAGGTCCCAGGACAAATTGTGTATCCTAAATACCAACAATTGCGACGTTGCCGAATTTAGGGCTCAACAACGATACATTCATGTGTGGGCTCAACAACGTTTATACAAATCTGAAGTGTATATCCCTATATACAAAAAAGCGCCCTCTACAGGCCGATCCCCGAAGTTTTCGCTGTATGTCGGTTATATTATCGGTATATTGTGGAGCCCGACCAAAAATGCGGGAAATGGCTCAAACAATTCTGACCACTCAGTGAAGAGATACAGGGCGATACGTTGTTGAGCCCGAAATCGGGCTCAACAACGTTTCTTCGGGCTCCACTACGTACCGTTCATATGCTAATCGGGCTCAACAATGACCGTTTAGTTATCTATGTATATATATATATAATTGGTGACTTGACAACGTTGCTTCATGAGTGGGAATGAAAGATTATCTGACCTATAACGAAACAGCATAAACGATGACGTCACCATTTATTCGATGAAATAATTTCTGAATTTCAACAATTTGAACAATAGGCTCATTAGTTACATAAAAGGAGCATGGGAAGTGTTGCAAAAATTAATTTAGCTCCTTAACGACACAGTGGAGTAGTTGAATGCCATTAATTCATTTTCAGTCCACTCGCCCATGGTATTGGTATTGGTAGGTTGGATGGTGACAGATGCGCTGCGATCTAATTAGATCTATTGTGCCCCATCTGCTCCTGCTATATCAAGGGTTTCCTGTTCATAGCAGCCCCTCGAGATTCAATTCCTTTAGGAATTTGAGGATTTTGAGGGGGTCTAGCTGTGGTATTTCTTCCACAGTCAGCTGGTGTGTTCCCAGTATGTTCAATCTTTTGTGATGTACAGCGTCACACTCCATCAGTATGTGATGGGGTGTTTCTGGTTCTTCCTCACAGAGTCTACAGGTGCCGTCCTCCTGTAAGCCTAGCTTCCTCAGGTGTTCTTTGAGTCTGCAATGCCCCGTTAGATATCCCGTTATTGCTTTGAGACTTCCTTTGCTGATGTTTGTCAGTGTCTTAGATCTTTCTCGGTTGAAATTTCCAAGGAGATTTTTAGCCTGCCGTAGTCCTGGAAGTCTTCTCCATTGTCTGGCTCTCCAGGCTCCTTCCGCCTTCTCAAGTTCTCCTTGGAAATAGGAATTTCCAAGGCCGCAGAATGGCTCTGGTCCGATCAGTGGCGTTGAAGCCCCTTGTCGTGCCAGAGCGTCTGCTTGTTCATTCCCCTCCACTCCGATGTGCCCTGGCACCCAGAGGAGGATAACTTTATTGTTGCTGCCTAGCTCATTCAATTTGCTTAGGCATTCCCATACCATCTTCAAGTTGATGTAGGGAGAGCTCAACGCTTTGATGGCTGCTTGGCTATCGGATAAAATCGCGATGTCCTTCTTCCGGTATTTCCTGTCTAGGTTGAACTGGATGCATCTTCCTATGGCGTGTATTTCCGCTTGAAAAATGCTGGGGAATTGTCCCATGGATTCGAAGTATTTGGTGCGAGGCCCAAAGACTCCTGCTCCAGTTCCCGGGTGTTTAGACCCGTCCGTATACCAAGTAATGGTGTTCCTTCCCAGTGATTCGATGAATTCTGTGCTCCATTCGCGCTTGTTGCTCAGCTCCACTCGGAAGTTCTTCTCAAAACTGAACTCTCTTATGATTTGATCTGTTGGAAGATCGGCGAGGTGTGCGATCTCAGTGGGGGGTGAGCCCCTTACACTGTGCGTTTTCCCTCTTAGTCCGACCTTGGCTAACCTGAGATGTGCTCCATATAAGCAGTTTTCCTCACCACGATGTGTAGAGGTGTGTGATCCAAAATGACCTCTAGTGCTGCTGTTGGAGCTGATCTCATTGCTCCTGTTATGCAAAGACATGCCAGTCTCTGCACCTTCTCTAATATTTTCCTTGTAGTGGCGAGTTCGGTTCTGCCGTGCCACACTACTGCTCCGTAGGTGATCATTGGTCTCACTAGCATGCTGTACATCCATCGCAGTATTGATGGGTTACACCCCCACGTTTTGCCTGCAAGGTTCCTGCACACCATCAGTGATGATTTTGCCTTACTGGCGATCTTTTTTACGTGTCTATTCCAGAGAAGCTTTGAGTCAAGGATGAGCCCTAGATACTTCACTTCTTGCTGCCACTCGCCCATAGACATTGTGAAACATTTTTGCAAGAAGATCTCTCGTTTTCAAACAAATTCAAGATAATTTCTACTTGGTTGTGAACAGATTTACATTATAAATCTGTAAAATTTGTCATCTCTGTTGACCACTCAAATTCAGTTACAGATATTCTTTTCGAATATTTTAAACATAATTTATTGAAATAATGCAATCTCCTTATTGAATCCGAATTAGTTTGTTTATTGCACAATCTATGTCCTATGAATATATTTCATATGTTTCAAATTCAATTTTCTAATTCCATGACAATGATTTGATCACAGTTTTTTACAGGGGCGCCGCGTGAATGATTTCTGATGATGAAATTGACTAACTTTTTTTGACGAAACTTTCAAGTGATTTTGATTAGAAAATTTGACATCATTTCTACATAATATTGTTTGAAAACGATATTTTCATTCATTTTTGAGAAGAATGCAAGTGAACAGTTCAAAGTCTTGGAAGGGGATTTTAAATATTATTTCATTTGTGGAGAGTGTGCTTTGAACTGTCAGAAAATTGTTGCTGGTGAGTTACATTTCTTGTCAGTAAATGAATGTTGGCGCGAGTTTATAGTCAATACTTTTTCGATTGAAACGCCCTGTATCTTTTTCCACTGCAATATTTCATTGATGCATTTCCAACCAACCAAATTACTTCAAAAAAACTATGACATGACTTTTCGTTTTTATTTTTTTTTTCTGGCGATAATAAAATGAAAACTGAAAAAATATCATTATAGCAACTTTTGATGCTGTTCAATTTGGCATCGTCGATTTTATGATCCAACGTTTCGTCTTTGAGCCTTTGAGCAACAATCATCAACTTTATTTTTCAAAATACGGCCCAGATATTTTGATATCAGATTCAAATAGCCCTTTCTATTCTGATTTTATGATATGCATTTGCCAGGAAAGTGATTGTTTTTCTCCTGTCATCTACCATTGTTGTTCATTTCATGAACATTTGTGGAAATGACCTTAACCTTAAATTATATTATGAGTTATTGTATGAATTAGTGAAAACAATGTACCCAACAAAGTCTGTCATGTGAACCATTCACCAATGTCAAGAAAGAAAGATATTATGATTCAAATCGCAAGCATTTCTGATGCAATTCAATGTACCTCACGTAGCTTCTCAATTTTGACAAAAAAAAAATTAAATCACTTCTTATACACCACATATTTGAACTGATATTGAGCATCAAGACCCAAATTACTAAACTGATTGAGTACCTGATAGAAACCACATTTATAGTGTGATATTTGAATGTTTGAATTAGACATCAATATTACCTTTCATCAAGGCAGGAACATTAGGTTCTGTCAGATATATCAATTTTTTTGGTAAGACCTCAGGAATACCTCCCACTTTTGTAGAAACCACTTTCAAACTGAAAAAGATGAATAATAATTGCTATCTTCCACCTTCAATAATGAATTAATAAATATGTGTTTTATTACCCACACGATGCTGCTTCCACAATAGCCATACAATATGCTTCAGTTAATGAAGTGTTTAGAAAAATATCACCTTTGACAAGCACATTTCTCACTTGGGAATGTTCCAAACTACCCAAAAGAGTCACTCGATCTTGAAGGCCACTTCTCTCCCTAACCTCTTCTAGTAACCTGAAAGAAGTGTTGAGAATACAGATCATCCTATCACATCACTTCCAAATAATATTCTGATTCCATTAATTTTGATGCTATAAGATGAAGATAAACGATAGAATTTGTTTGTTTGTTTCTTAGATATCAGAGAGGAAGTAAATTGTCTACTATGAGATTTAAGATTCCTGAGGTAGTATAGAATATAAGCTGCTATTATATCAGATACCATTTCACCTCTTGAAATCACCTGAACCAAAAGATTTACGGGTTGATTTAAGAGTATCTCTGAAACAATAATTCAAATACATATCTCATAAATTCGATTAGACTCTATATTTAGTTACCATCATTGGAATAAAACTCATAATCATTACTGTTGGTTTTTATATGGGACATGAATAGTCTCCAAGAAATTCTTGTTAGTAATAAATATAAATCCATATTTTGGCTGCTTCCTAGTTGATAAATATAAATAATGATTATTATTGATGTGTGTGGTAATAAGACGCCATTGTTCAACTTCATCAAATGAAACAATAGATCCTCGCATATCTTCTTTTTTTCTTGTTTGTGAAATATAATATATTATGTACCAATATATGTTTTGAAGACCTGACAACCAACAAAGGTGAAAACCCACCAGGATTCCAATAGTTGTTATATCGGGATAACAGCTTTTGAAGTCCTGAAATCTATCATCCCTACATACTATAATTGGACAAGCTGTTTAAAAATCTCCGTCGTGTGTAAAACTCTTATGGAAGATTACATGTATTTAATGATTTAGGAAGTTGATGAAATTTACCATCGTTTGGGTCCATCACCAGCTATTAAGAAATATATTTCCTTGTATTTTAGGCATAAGTCTGCTATGATTTGAGCAGTTAGATCCACTCCTTTCCTGTAGACCAGCCTTGATACAACAACGACTGTAACTAAAAATTACATATACATTTTTAAATATATAGTAGCAGACTTTCAAATTGCAGAATAACCTGATATTGTTATTTCAGTAGAAATCAATCTTGTTAGCCTTCCTTAAATCATCTAATATCATAATTAATTGATCAGGAGCTTTGATCAAGCATTCTTGAGTTATTGCAAAACAATAATTGAATTTCTTAACTTCAACACCCCGTATATTAATTGTTATCAAATCACGAGGGCTATCACCTGTAGAGCATTGAAGGTCCAATTTCGTAGAAGTCAATCCTGGTGAAAATTTTTGAAGGAGAGTTGAAGATATAGATGTTCAAAAAAGCCAAAGCAAAGCAGCACATTTGAGCAGATGACTTTTCAGTGTCAACAATATTTATGATAACCACCTATCAGTCAGCAATGCTGACATTTTGAAACTATAGAACACTGCTATGAGTAAAATAGTGCACTGTCTTTCATTGTTTTCTTAATCATTTTATTTTTAGTTTTTCCACTCCTGAAGTCCATGAAAAAGTCAATAAATCACAGGACTAAAATTCTTTTTAATTCCTCATCGGCGAATTGAAAACATTAGTTTGTCAAACTAAAATTATTTGATTGAATAATTTTTATTGGGATTGAAGACATCCCTTCCTCCGGTTGGACTGAAAAACTTTTCACATTAGGATTGAAAGAGCTTAGTCCCTTGGTTCATGATAGTTATTTAGACACCAAGGTTTTATAGAATCAGAATCAGTTTTACCCAGCGGCCAAGATTATATCCCGATACTTCAGCCAAGAGGTGGGTGGCTATGTCTTTATTGACTAGTGGATCATAAAATGACGAAAACTACCTTGAGTGAAAACACACTTTACGCCTTGAAAAGGAGTAAATAACAGTAGGTTTTATAACTAGTGGTGGAAAAACTACTATTTGGTAGATGTTAATTGAATGTATGGTTACATATACTTGTTCAAATATATTTTGTAACATGATAATTGCTGATGTTATGCTGAAGCATTTGAATACCTTAGAGATATTTAAATAGATCTGAAAGTATTTGAATAGTTCAGGAATGTATTTAAATACTCACTTTTGAGAATATTAGGATATGTAGTCATGAATTTCAAAACTGATGATCGAATGTTTTCAAGAGTTGGTACTTATTTGCCCCACTTTGCATATACATCTATTAATATTAGGTACCTACCTAGTATTGGCAATGGAGCAATGTATAGTCAGATGTCATATTGATATTAATAAAATGCAGTCACAAAAATCAATGGGTAGTTGGTTAGTAAAGGTTTACTACAGAAAGTTTTTTTGGCTATATTTGAAAAATATCAACATAAATAATAGGCCTGAATAATTTCATTATTTTGAAGAACTAACCAAGGAACTAACCCAAACTTGATCACTGATGCAAACCATTTTCCTCGCCGTTTTCTTTTGGGAGCTCTCTACATTTTCTAAATAATTATTGAAATTCATGATATTTAATATCATGAAAAACGCAGGACAGCACATGACTTTATATATGGCGATCAATCCATTGGATTTTAAATATGGAACAACTGCATCAAATACTTTCAATACATGGAATGATCAAAGTAAAATAGATATATGGAGTAGATTCAACTAGTGTGTACAGGGTGCGCCTCTTAAAATTGAACCCCCTCTCAACTCTTTTGTTTCTGAAAATATGAAAAAAATTAAGATGAGGAAGTTGTTTGAAACAACCCAAACTTTTATTATGTTGAGTTATTTTATATATAGGGTCATTAGTTTTTCCGAAAAAGGCATCAACTCTGATTTTTATTAATGGAACACCCTATATATTTTTTTATATTTCCCTAGAGCCTCCTGTTCTGATTGCAAAAGTATAAATAGGTTGCATATTTGGATGATTTGTTGTTGGCTTACCAATGATGAAAGTTTACCAAAATCATGCATCTTCCATCCAAATACTCCATTCATATTTTTTTTTATTGAGATTGAACGATTTCATTTTCATAATAAACATTATCATGACATTTTTATGGAGCTTAAACAATATATGAACATTATTTCAAAGCTAACCATGTTCAACTGCATTATTTTGGTAAAGTTTGATCATTAATAACTCAACAATGTTTCATCTAAATATGCAGCTTATTTATATTCTGAAATCAGAAAAAAAACTCTATTAACATGTCACAAAATTTATAGGGTGTTCCATTCAAAAAATCAGAGTTCACGTCCATTCCAGGAAAACAAATGTCAATGTATATAAAACGATTACACAAAATAAGAGTTTGGCTCATTTCACAAAATTTTTTTATTTGACATTTTTTCATGTCTCTCAAAACAAATGAGTAAAGAGTGGGTTCAATTTTCAGAGGCACATCCTGTACAACCTGAGGTACAACCCCATTTATATAGTGGCAGCAATTTGCACTTCAACAAAACTTATTCAAGAACAGGCAAGAACCATCCAATCAAATCACTTGGGCAGTTGACTTGGAAAAGTTGCAATGATAATAATATATGGTTCTTTATTTCAAAGGAGCAAAACTCTTATCATAGCTATGATTGGTCCCCAGAATGATATTAATAAATAAACCCTGTAGCTTACTATCATTTTTCTGGTTGATTAGGTATATCAAATACATTTTGTTTCTAGTATGAAATGTTGAAGTTGAAAAAATGCCCCCTTCCACTGGATATCTCATAGCCTTTTTTATGTATGTTCAAGTGTAATTCACATATCCTAATTCTAAATTAAAATGTATGCTTACTCACTATGATTTTTTGTTCTTTGACTAGGATCTGGTGTGAAAGAGTATGTATCTACTGCATTTGGTATCACAGAGACTCTTCTAGAATCTACCTTGGCTCTTAATACTGTATTCTCCTTTCCAGTGTGTGAAACACAAATGCAGTGATTGCAATCAGAAAGTGTTATTTGAATGAATTTATTTGTGATTGCAGCACTAGCATCAGCAAATCCAAATAAACTATGATCTGTGAAGACAGTCTAGAACAGTTGAAATAACTAAGAATTATAACAAAATAAATGAACTTTTTTTTTATAGGCAATAATAGTAATGATGATAAGGGGTGATTAATTTGAAATGCAACTAGCCCTGAGTGCTGAAATTTTGAGTAGGCTTCAAAGCTTTGATGTTAATTTTTTCAAGGGGGAAGCTAGGGGGGAAGATAAACCATATTCAATTATCATGTACCTAAAAAGAGTATAAACATATTTAAAGCATATTTTGAACATTTAAAACTAGTACTTAAAGTACTTGAGAGAATATTGAAGATCACTTAATGTATTGAATATGGTTTTCAAGTACTTAAAATTTCAGGGTGTACACCTATTTGAAGAGTTGTTTCCCCCTGGAATTTTTTTATGCACTTGATCATTTTTTTTATCTCTTGAAGTGCACAAAAGGTGAATGGGAAACTTGATGTTTCAGCAATTTCATATTTCTGTTAGTATCAACTCTAGTCACTAGTATGGGCATATTTGGGAAATCAGCAAACCCAAAAAATAACCCTGAGAATAACCTCTAACCTACTCATACTTGAGGCATTTGAAGAATATATATTCTTAGCACCCCACACCATATAAGAATAATGAACCAAGTGATGAACCAACTTATTCAGAAAATAATCTTCATACCTGAGCTTTCAACTTAGATTGTTCCCCTAATAGGAACCTATCACTTCATCAGATTATTCATTCACACATGTTTCTATTTAGGCTCCTATCAGTTTATCTATGGAAGTCTTGATACTGAGGCCACAGTTTATTATCCTTTCAACTCCTGAAAGGATAATATACTGTGCTAAGGCATTGAAACATAAACTGAAATATTCATACCTTTTGTCCCATAAGGTTACCAATCAACATTGCTTCATGAGCTAGTGCAGAAAATGCAGAATGTCCATGAATTATATCAATTCTTTCCCTTATGAGTATATACCTTATCAAAGGTATGTTACATATCATAGTCGGCAGTACACATTGGCTATAAAATACTTTAATAGGGAGATAGTAGACTTTCAGTCCATTTGTCATATATCTAACTCCAACTCGGTCCCCATAACTATGTGTGAGAACAACAACTTTGTGACCATGTAGTAGCAGGCATTGTGACAAATTGTAGATATGTTCTTCAACTCCACCCATATTGGGAAAAAAGAAGTCTGATACCATGCTGGAAAAAACACAGAGGTAAACTATTCAAGAAAAAAAAGCAGGGGGCTTGAACATACCATATCCTGTAAATAGTCATTGTGATGCTGCAAATATGAAGTGTTCTCCAATTATGAGATCCTTACCCTATTGGAGTTCTCTAAATCAGGAAACTACCTACTACTTATATGATTAATAAAGAATCTAGATGTCAAGAACATTTAAATTTTGAACCTAACCATATTCGGGAGTGTCAGAAATTCCTTCTTCTTTTTTTCTTCTCATCTTATACTACTTACGTGAAGTGGGCTACCAAAGCTGGCTGCCAGAATTTCCGAACTTTCCCGATTGACCAGTGGCATGCGCTTCCCTCCTTTTTGGGTATCGAATATCGAGATTCCTCAATTGCTTTCGTTTGCGATGATGTGGTGGATGAAGTAAGGCTCGCGGCGATGTTGATAATTAGTCCAGTAGTCATCAGGGATCGTGAGCCCTGCGCTGCAGAAGGTCCGTTAGTTTCGATTTCTGGATATGTTCTAGAATCCACATAAATTTTACAAAAATTTCCAATTTTGCGACCTCGGCGACCGCCCATGTCATTTTGAAAATGGCGTCGAAAATTGTCGACATTAGCATTATCTCCGCATTGGTGTGACCTTGTATGAAAATACCTATTTTAGCAATCTCTAATAACCTACAAGTTTTATCTGAAACATTTTTTGTACGACTCATTGCAAGGTATAGCTGTAACGCTTCGAAATGATGCAGTTTGCTGAAATCTTCGCAGATATCGAGGCAGATATAATCACTTTCCTGCAGAATTGATTGATTATTTTTCACTATCCTCCATCCGTTCTAGAATTGATACCTGAGCTGATATGAACCTATATACAGGCTGATTTTAAAATGAGTGCATATATTCAAGACATATATATGAGAGGGTCTAACAAAAATTAATAAATTATTTGATTTTTCCTAAGTCTTCACATTAACGAGAAATTTCATTTTCAAAATTGAACATATATAAAATGCTTCGAAATTCGAGTACGCCACTGGGAAGCAAGTTAAATCTGCGGAATCCCAGGGAATCCCCAATTCGTCATTCCCTAACGTCAAAACAAGACAGTGATGCCAGATTGTTTCAGAGACGAATATCCTGATAAAAATTTGTCACAGAATGAATATGGATTGGAATAGGTTATGGAAACTAGTAGAGGTGGATGTAATATATGTACAGGAGCCTTATTTTTGAAAGCTTACTTAGAGAACTGTGGGGTGATTATCTCCATGGATCACGAGAGACGGATATAGAAACATGAGGGGAATGATAGAACGTCCCCCTTCTTTCAATTCGAAAATAATAAGGCCCCAGCGGGTAGATACAAAATTAGCAGACAATAAATAGGTACACAACATACACAAAGTTGAAAATCGACTCACCTAGTAGATTTTCTCATACCTGCTCGAACAGCAAAACTCCCGAGAGCAAACAAATACTTATATCGAGTCCATTTCCAGACTAATATCGTCCTGTGTTCTTGTTGGTTCATATTCGCACTTTTAAACCATCGAAATAAACGACTCGACGACGACATATCCTTCCTGGCAATCTCACATTGAAAAGCACGATTACGACCATATCACGATTATCACGACACAAGACACAACATCCAATTATTTTATTTTTCATTTTACGTTTACAATTATTTTACAAACCAGCAACTACACAAACAAAACTATTATCATATGATCTGTCAACATCATTTCTCAGAACAGTAGTATCTGTGACCATAGATTTCCTCTTTGCTGTGACCTTTGACAGTACTAACTAGGATTGTTCGCGTTCAGAAAATAAACAATCCGAAACCGTCAGAAGCATGCACGAGTCCACAGAACCCAAAAAAAAACCATACAGTTCTGTGAAACTGCGCATGCTTCTGACCGTTTCGGACGCAAGAATTCAGATGACCATGAATTACTAATAGGCGATTTCTACGGACCAATCAGAAACAGCAAAGTAGCGCCTGCGTGGTTGCGATTCATCCTGATTGGACACAGAGCTGATTGGATTTGTGAGATTAGTGTATAGTGAGGAAGTATTATTTCATTGAATTAAACTAATAGACGTTTTTTCCAAATTAGTTTTTTATGAAAATGGTAGTTTCATTTAAAGATATGATCCTTCCTCACTAATACATTAATCACAATCACCTGTGCCCAATCAGGATGAATCGCAACCACGCAGGCACTATAACTTTGCTGTTTCTGATTGGTCCGTAAAAGTCGCCTATTAGTAATTCATGGTCATCTGAATTCTTGCTGGTAGCACACCATAAGAACAATCAAAACAAAGATCCTTTCTTGACAGTTTGTTGTTCTGAGAATGTATGTTATTTTGGAAAACGTCAAAACGTAGTGATACTATAGTAAATGTAAAGTTTTGTTTCGGACAATTTGCTTGGAATGTGACGGAGCATTTCTCAAACATTGAGCTGAATGATATGGTTCTTATGTCGGGTCGTTATTGTGCGGGGCCCATGAGACTCCTCGAAGGACACGAAATTGTAGCGATGCAAGGGGGTGGAAAGGAAGGGTCTAAAGGATTTTTCAGTAAAAGAACTTCCAACCGTGAGGTGTTAAGTTATACGCTATTCGAGCTTATGTGTAGAAATCTTGGGTGAGTCCATTTTGAAGTTTTTGTATTATCTTTCTGAAATTCAAGACCATCAGGGTTAACTTCTTCCCCATGTACATTTTCTCGATTATACATTTCATTTAATAGTGGCAACGTCGCTTCGTTCATCACGGTCGACTGCGGATCGCAAACGATAGTTGTGACAGAAGTAGAAATCTGGGCGGAAAAAGGGTATTTTGCCCCAAATCTATTTTGATCCTAATAATATTTTTAATAGTGCTATTCGGTAGTATACCTCCAGCTTTCTTAGTGTTTAAAATATATGCATTTATTTTAAAATCAGCCTGTATATGAAGGAACATGTTAAAACCGTCCAGATTTTTATTGAATAATTGTGGAGAGTGGAAATGGCTGAGTGCTTTACTAGGTACCAAACTAGGACTACTTCATAAATATGAAGAATATTTCATGAAAAAATCTGATGAAAAGATTGTAATGCCGAGATTCTCTGCTTCCTAATAGTGATCGATAGTTCATAGACATTTACTGAATTTAATCGAACTTCATTTTATTGTGACTTGAGAGTTCAAGGATAAGTTTCATTTATATATACGTTCAGAGAATCTTCATCAAACATACAGCCTACTTATTCAAAAAAAGAATAATAAGCATTGTGGAAGCACTGCACAGCTCCTTTTGGGTCTCGACTCGAATCATTCTCAATCGAATAATCATTATTCCTTTCCAAATCATATGGATGACTAAAAATTTCAAGAATTTTCGATACCTTTGCAAAAAAATGCCTATCTGCTTTCGGGTCAGAATCATTTTCGATAGAGAATGATTCGAGTCCCAAAAGCAATAACTGCGTGAAGTCTGCTTTTATTTCCCAATGCTTATTATTGTTTCGTCCAAGTAGGCTGCTCTAGAGGGCACTTAATTATTAACAATTATGATAACAATGGGTTAGATATTCCTGCTGATTGATTTTCTTCTTGTTATTATCACATCGCCGAGGACGCCGAGCTTAACTTCATACATCGTATCACCGCAAACAAAACCCAAAAAGGGGAGAAACGCGTGCCACTGGTCAATCGGGAAAGTTCGGAAATTATGGCAGCCAGCATTGGCAGCCCACCTCTCAAAGGTTCCTATTCTTCTGTTTTTATTATAATTATTACCCTCTTCCGTCTTTTACCTCAGCGTCCTCAGCCATCAGCGAATTCTACTTAGGGTGACTTTATATAAACTTTTAGCATTTAAGATTTAACATTTGAACATTTAATACTCAAGTCTTGAGTATAGACAGTTGAAAAAAATAGGATTCTAGGGCGATACATGTCTTTCAAGGTTGGTAGAACTGATGATTATTTTGTAGTTCTACAAACCTTGATGTCTTCTGTCATTACTGACATCTATTCTGATACAGAACCAGGATTACAACTATTTGTGTTTTCATTTCCTCCATTCTTCTTCATTATTATTACTGATATTAAGTACTCATTACAACAAATGATAGAAATATGTAGATGTTGCGCGTGCTCAGCCATTTTTACTTAATGCTTGCTTCTTGCTTCCATCATTAGAAAAATCACTCCACCGCCTACTATGATTTCTTTACGTCACATCGAGCGAGACAAAAGCGAGACGTTGAATCAGGGCTGTTCATGTTCATGACCGAAAACATATAGTATACTAGATCAAACTTCGAAACAATAGTAGAATTGGGAAGTTATTAGTACTGAATTTAAATTTTCTTCAAATTTGCCGCTTGTTATTCTCGGAATTCGAGCCACCAAAGAACAAATGTGAGTGCAGAGATCTCTGATATGATGAGTGGAATAATTTCACCATATGAAAATATTGAAATAAAAAATAAAATTAGATTCATAGAAGTGTTACAAATATTTCCAAAATGGGAACTTATGAGAAAAATAATCTGGAACAATGCATTTTCTAGATTTCATCACAGAACTTTGGTACTGACAGGTACTGATCCGACTGAACTGATCGTCTCGAATAGTACTAAATCTAGTACTAAAGTACCAATTGCGGAACAGCCCTACACGTTGAATCAATTTTTTTCTCGAAGAGCTGTGACGAGTGAATATGAAATGGCAAATTTTTTGGAACGAAAGCGCAACAGCAAATATATACCAGCTGTACAAAACAAGCGAAGGTCTGCGATATTGATATTGTGAAAATGTATAAAACTCGTGAAGAACTGCCCAGTTAACACAAATTGATCTCAGAGACGTCAGTACACTTCACATTCATGATTGAGATCACACCCGCGATTCGATTTGTGAATCACGTCGACATCTCCAGATCCTCTATTCCGGACCCTTTTGGTCATTTTTCGCTTCACATTTAGATGCCGAATGGGACTCAAAAGTTAGCTGAATGTGACTCCAGATATCACGTTGAAATGAGACTCACATTGAGGTCACATTATAATCAGAATGTGAGGTTTAGAAGACCATCGACCATTTCTGAATGTGAGGTTCTTTTCGATTATTATACTGCGGTATCGTAGCGTCCCTGGAAGAATCATATTGTGCGTCTCAGAAATGCTACATACACATTGATTTTTGATGTCTCAAGTGAAATCACATCTAGATTGATGAAGGTATTC